GGTAAAAGACTGTCGTAAGCGCAATTTTGACGATTTTTAGTTTTAGATGCAGTTATACATTTTGAGATAAGGCCTTTCGATTAGTGTTATCAGTTTTTAGATATCTTTAGATAATTTAGTAAAAATTTAGTTAGTGATGCAGTTATATTAAACTAATCAATATCTTAAAATGACGTTCTCCCTTTTTGGATATCTCCTATAGCTTCTCAGATATTGAGTAAAAAGTGTCGTTGATTTAGTAGAAATTTTGATCGCATTTTGTCGTATTTCATACAAAGTGGCTGCCAATTTATAGACAAATGACGCTTACGACAAAATTTTACAAAAGAAAATCCTTCATTAACTCAAAACTAATTAACAATAAATATTAAAAATAATTTAAAAATTTTGTGAACCAGTAACATTTTCAGAAACTTTGGAGTAAAAATATATCATCGCGTTTTTAAGAAATTGCATTCCAAGCTTCAATCGCGATTTCCCACAACCTGCCGAAATTAACATACCACAATCTTTTACCCAGGCGAGGAAGTGTTGATTTCAAAATAAAAAGAGGGGTATATTTTTTCGTTATAGAACAGTACATACTAGGGGGTGAGAGCATTAAAGCGACTTTACTTTTTTAGATCACCCTATTGTGCACCCTGAGGACCTTGATGGTTGGCTGGGAAACAAGACATTTTGTTATGATGAGGATATGTATGTATGTATGTGTGTACATTAGACAACGTAAAAAAATCCTGCGATGCGACCGAAATAAGATTCAAATTTTAGCATTTGGTGTAGCAATGATTCTCCATGAATCTCACCTCTCTAGGACAATTGTAAGAGGTGGCGCCGCGAGGCTTTATTTTTCCCATAGGAATTACACTTAAGAAAATGAATTCTTTCCTTTTGAGGTCAATATAATTTTCTAGGATCAATGAAAACGCTCCAAACTGTAAGAATATATTGATTTAAATTCCTAAATAATCCTTTTTTAATCCATTGTCCTATTTGGGTCAAATTTAGTATATTCCAATAATTTTTTTTTTTGTTCAGCTAAGAAATTGTTTTTTAATATTCACCTGTCCTTCGAGTCCACGCGAAGAATACACCTGTGGCTCCGATAAAAATCCCCAATCGTTAAGGCCTTTCTGCTGGAAAGTGGCTAGTAAAGGAATTTTGCTCAACAACCCAAATGAGTCGCCTGCTTCTATGAGCAGCACTGATGACGTTGGGCTGTGTTTGGCTAGCAGTGAAGCTACCACTGAACCAGCAGTTCCAGCACCAACTAAAATGCATAAAATATTCCTTACATTTGCACATACTAAAAACCTAATATGAAAATGTATAACGCTCACCCACTACGTAGTCGAAGACGTAACCGGATTGGGGAGTGAGCTCATTCGGTGTGCTGTCGCCAAACAACGGTACAAATACAAACCACAAAAATGCCAATAATGCGATGATGATAGCCCCAACAAACAGTATTTCTTTAGACAAAAGAAATGCATGTGTATTAAACAAATATTTACATTCTGTTAGTCAATCTTTATACATACGCTGGAAATGCATTTTGAAAACAATAAAATTATGCACTTCTCTTCTCAGTTTCAATTTTATAACTAACTACAAAATACCGGACATAAGGACGGCAACCATTAGTACCAATAGATAAGCAGTGGTTGCGGAGAAAGAGCGGCAATAATCCAATTACGACAGCACGTCGCTTTCTTTATTGAACCGACAGCGAGCACACTTCATGATTCACTATTAGGGGGTGAAAACTATGGTATATTGAAATAATTCCTCAATTGGATGTAATGAACTCGACTCAAAATCACACCTCGCAATAAATATATACTACTACGTACGTACGTATTTTTGTCAAAAGCTGTTTATAAATTAGCAGTAAATCATTTTTAATCAAACATAAGTCTTATATCTAACCCCCCGTAGCACACGCTGTTTCCTGTTTAGGCTTTCATCATCTCAATGTCCTCCATGGTTGCGCCTTCCTCTAGTTTCTTTTCCAATTCGCGTGCATCTACATAGGTGATTTCTTCTTCAGGTAGATC